GTCCATGTGTGAAATGCTGGACCTTCTCATTGATAGTGTCCATGTGTGAAATGCTGGACCTTGTCATTGATAGTGTCAATGTGTGAAATGCTGGAACTTCTCATTGATAGTGTCAATGTGTGAAATGCTGGACCTTCTCATTGATAGTGTCAATGTGTGAAATGCTGGACCTTCTTATTGATAGTGTCAATGTGTGAAATGCTGGACCATCTCATTGATAGTGTCAATGTGTGAAATGCTGGACCTTATCATTGATAGTGTCAATGTGTGAAATGCTGGACCTTCTCATTGATAGTGTCAATGTGTGAAATGCTGGACCTTCTCATTGATAGTGTCAATGTGTGAAATGCTGGACCTTCTCATTGATAGTGCCAATGTGTGAAATGCTGGACCCTCTCATTGATAGTGTCAATGTGTGAAATGCTGGACCTTCTCATTAATAGTGTCAATGTGTAAAATGCTGGACCTTCTCACTGATAGTGTCAATGTGTGGAATGCTGGACCTTCTCATTGATAGTGTCAATGTGTGAAATGCTGGACCTCCTCATTGATAGTGTCAATGTGTGAGATGCTGGACCTTCTCATTGATAGTGTCAATGTGTGAGATGCTGGACCTTCTCATTGATAGTGTCAATGTGTGAAATGCTGGACCTTCTCATTGATAGTGTCAATGTGTGAAATGCTGGACCTTCACATTGATAGTGTCAATGTGTGAGATGCTTGACCTTCTCATTGATAGTGTCAATGTGTGAAATGCTGGACCTTCTCATTGATAGTGTCAGTGTGTGAGATGCTGGACCTTATCATTGATAGTGTCAATGTGTGAAATGCTGGACCTTTTCATTGATAGTGTCAATGTGTGAAATGCTGGACCTTCTCATTGATAGTGTCAATGTGTGAAATGCTGGACCTTTTCATTGATAGTGTCAATGTGTGAAATGCTGGACCCTCTCATTGATAGTGTCAATGTGTGAAATGCTGGACCTTCTCATTGATAGTGTCAATGTGTGAAATGCTGGACCTTCTCATTGATAGTGTCAATGTGTGAAATGCTGGACCTTCTCACTGATAGTGTCAATGTGTGGAATGCTGGACCTTCTCATTGATAGTGTCAATGTGTGAAATGCTGGACCTTCTCATTGATAGTGTCAATGTGTGAAATGCTGGACCTTCTCACTGATATTGTCAATGTGTGAGATGATGGACCTTCTCATTGATAGTGTCAATGTGTGAAATGCTGGACCATCTCATTGATAGTGTCAATGTGTGAAATGCTGGACCTTCTCATTGATAGTGTCAATGTGTGAAATGCTGGACCTTCTCATTGATAGTGTCAATGTGTGAAATGCTGGACCTTCTCATTGATAGTGTCCATGTGTGAAATGCTGGACCTTCTCATTGATAGTGTCAATGTGTGAAATGCTGGACCTTCTCATTGATAGTGTCAATGTGTGAAATGCTGGACCTTCTCATTGATAGTGTCAATGTGTGAAATGATGGACCTTCTCATTGATAGTGTCAATGTGTGAAATGCTGGACCTTCTCATTGATAGTGTCAATGTGTGAAATGATTTACCTTCTTATTGATAGTGTCAATGTGTGAAATGCTGGACCTTCTCATTGATAGTGTCCATGTGTGAAATGCTGGACCTTCTCATTGATAGTGTCAATGTGTGAAATGATGGACCTTCTCATTGATAGTGTCAATGTGTGAAATGATGGACCTTCTCATTGATAGTGTCAATGTGTGAAATGCTGGACCTTCTCATTGATAGTGTCAATGTGTGAAATGATTTACCTTCTTATTGATAGTGTCAATGTGTGAAATGCTGGACCTTCTCATTGATAGTGTCAATGTGTGAAATGCTGGACCCTCTCATTGATAGTGTAAATGTGTGAAATGCTGGACCTTCTCATTGATAGTGTCAATGTGTGAAATGCTGGACCTTCTCATTGATAGTGTCAATGTGTGAAATGCTGGACCTTCTCACTGATAGTGTCAATGTGTGAAATGCTAGACCTTCTGATTGATAGTGTCAATGTGTGAAATGCTGGACCTTCTCATTGATAGTGTCAATGTGTGAAATGATTTACCTTCTTATTGATAGTGTCAATGTGTGAGATGCTGGACCTTCTCATTGATAGTGTCAATGTGTGAAATGCTGGACCTTCTCATTGATAGTGTCAATGTGTGAAATGCTGGACCTTCTCACTGATAGTGTCAATGTGTGAAATGCTGGACCTTCTCATTGATAGTGTCAATGTGTGAAATGCTGGACCTTCTCACTGATAGTGTCAATGTGTGGAATGCTGGACCTTCTCATTGATAGTGTCAATGTGTGAAATGCTGGACCTTCTCATTGATAGTGTCAATGTGTGAGATGCTGGACCTTCTCATTGATAGTGTCAATGTGTGAGATGCTGGACCTTCTCATTGATAGTGTCAATGTGTGAAATGCTGGACCTTCTCATTGATAGTGTCAATGTGTGAAATGCTGGACCTTCTCACTGATAGTGTCAATGTGTGAAATGCTGGACCTTCTCATTGATAGTGTCAATGTGTGAGATGCTGGACCTTCTCATTGATAGTGTCAATGTTTGAGATGCTGGACCTTCTCATTGATAGTGTCAATGTGTGAAATGCTGGACCTTCTCATTGATAGTGTCAATGTGTGAAATGCTGGACCTTCTCACTGATAGTGTCAATGTGTGAAATGCTGGACCTTCTCATTGATAGTGTCAATGTGTGAGATGCTGGACCTTCTCATTGATAGTGTCAATGTGTGAAATGCTGGACCTTCTCATTGATAGTGTCAATGTGTGAAATGCTGGACCTTCTCATTGATAGTGTCAATGTGTGAAATGCTGGACCCTCTCATTGATAGTGTCAATGTGTGAAATGCTGGACCTTCTCATTGATAGTGTCAATGTGTGAAATGCTGGACCTTCTCATTGATAGTGTCAATGTGTGAAATGCTGGACCTTCTCACTGATAGTGTCAATGTATGGAATGCTGGACCTTCTCATTGATAGTGTCAATGTGTGAAATGCTGGACCTTCTCATTGATAGTGTCAATGTGTGAGATGCTGGACCTTCTCATTGATAGTGTCAATGTGTGAGATGCTGGACCTTCTCATTGATAGTGTCAATGTGTGAAATGCTGGACCTTCTCATTGATAGTGTCAATGTGTGAGATGCTCGACCTTATCATTGATAGTGTCAATGTGTGAAATGCTGGACCATCTCATTGATAGTGTCAATGTGTGAAATGCTGGACCTTCTCATTGATAGTGTCAATGTGTGAAATGCTGGACCATCTCATTGATAGTGTCAATTTGTGAAATGCTGGACCTTCTCATTGATAGTGTCAATGTGTGAAATGCTGGACCTTCTCATTGATAGTGTCAATGTGTGAAATGATGGACCTTCTCATTGATAGTGTCAATGTGTGAAAAGCTGGACCTTCTCATTGATAGTGTCAATGTGACATTTTGGGATAAGACATTCAGACAAGAAGTAGGCACCCCCATAGTTTTTGTTTTGTTTTGTTTGTTGTTTAACGCCGCACTCCAATATTCCAGCTATATGACGACTGGTCACTAGTTGTGCTTATCACATTGAACGTTTATAAGACAATCGATATACCTAAAGCTAAACTTCCTGGCCAAATTCCCTTGTTTTTGTTTTTCCAGTCCGGGCAGGATTCAGCAATACCCCAACTATACGACGGAGGTCTGTAAATAATCGCGTGGAGTACACCCTAATCCATTAACAACCTATCAAAACTATGAATGGCGTTCCAAGAAAGACGCAATCGTTCCAAATGTCCTTTCGCTACCCACTTTTAACAGACTGGTCTGTTCTTATAATTAATAAGTGCGAAAAAGGCATTTGAACCCACGACCAACGGAGTATGGCACGGCTAAGCGACACAGCTTTTAACAGCAACTTGCGGCGCCTTGGAACGCCGGCTACCCCAACGAGTGAGTGAGTGAGTTAATATTTAATGTCACATTGGCAGTAGTTCAGTCATATCGTGACGAAAAGTTATACATTAATGATACATATATTAAGACTAAATAAAAAGCTGTCAACGATGGACAGGACAATAACTAGATTATCACAGATTTGATTTAAAACTAGTTGAGAATATTAAAAAGCAGTTAGTGTTAATGAACAACACAATATAAAAATGGGCTAGAGATCGTCGGTCGCTGAAGGGAGATCACCATTCTAGGGACCATGGGGACTTACAGTGCCTTTGCTTCCTGCATGGACCCCGGCAGGATTTAAATCATCCCTTCAGTCACTACCGACAGTGTACGAGATATGCCAAATATTACAATGACGAATATACTACGTTTAATTGCCTGGCATGCATAAAATACTTTGAATGATATGGGACCAACATACCCTCTTAGGGGGACAATAATTTTACGCTACTTTAATCAGCACTACCATTTTATAAAATCATACACTAAATACATCAAAATGTATGAATAAGTTGAATGACATATTTTAATAGCCTGAAGGCACGAAAGTGAATCTGACACAAAATAATGAAATCTTTATATTTTGATTTGTTCTTGACATATTTTAGAGCTGTTAAATTGTGTGTGCTTCTGCTGTGAATATTGAACTATTATGGGGTAATCGTGAAGAAACTGTTCTGGATCCAATGACAGTGGCACTAACAACTGCGCCACCATCCTTAGATCCATCTGTAAATATAGATTTATAAGTGTCATAAGGGTGTTTCGTAATTGATTGTATTCTTGTTTATAAATAAGTGGATTTGTATCAGATTTTTTACAAGTCTAGTTAATGTGAGGCCTACATTTGGCCTAAGCAGGCGATGAAAACAGTTGTGTGGGAGCTATATCTTGAAAGTTAATGTTAGCAGCAGAAACGACAGATTTACTTCTGATTCCAAGTGGTGGAACAAGATGCTACCCCAACGAAACAGTGATGACGATCATGTACCAAATGTTTGTTTCAGGCAACTGAAGTGTAGTAGGGTGACTATGCACCAGCATCTGTTCATATCCTACATCCTGACCGGAATGATGTGGATCGTCACCTACACCACTGTACCCATGCGGCCAGATGTTCTCCGCAGCAACCCGGTAGGTACCGACTTACACCACACCTACCTGCATAGAAAATATGACGCGTAGAAAAAGAAACGTATGTTATAGTCGAAAATGCACGCCAAATTAACAGCTGAAAGCACTAAAGAGGGGTTTTGGGTTCGTTACGTTTGTTTAACGTTGCTCTCAACAATATTCGTTAGGCGATAAACCTCGCAACCCGTAGGCAATCATAGTCCATTTATCCTGTACAAGAGTCGAGAACACGAAATACCACAAAGTTAAGCCAGTATACGTAACTCGAGTTTAACGTTTCTTGAGGCTCCCGACCCGGGGTTATCCGGGGTTATCCCGACCCGGGGTTATCAACCGCCCCAATTCCTAACACATGGGAGGAGCATGGGAGCGCATGACTGGGTTGACACAGCGGATTTTGGACTCCATGTTAGATGATATGAAGCGGAGGGAACTAACGCATGAGGTTTTGACCACGTTCATGGCTGAGATGTGTGCGATCATCAACGCGCGTCCTATTGTACCAGTTTCTTTTGACCCTGATGACCCATTTATTCTTACACCTGCCACCCTTCTTACTCAGAAAACTCATCATGTCACAGACTCTATGGAGACGATGGATATTAAGGGCATGTATAGAGCTCAGTGGAAGAGGGTGCAAGTGCTGTCTGACACATTTTGGAATCGCTTGAAACATGATTATCTTCATACCTTGCAACCTACAGTCCGTTTGACTCCAAATGAGAAAGATGAATTGCAAAATAACTCGAAATCCAGAAAAGTGTATGAAACATCAATACAGTACTTGACCATGTACCCAACAAAATCTGAATTTTGTTAATTTTAAGACCCATGACGTATGAATTTCTTTAAGAAACTATCATGTAATTTTGTATCGAAATGTGTGCATGACACATAGGGGGGACAAACCGTGGAAGCCACAGCGCAAGCACGCATGCACTGCACGGTCTGTGGTAGGGGAAATGACAAAGCGTTAGAGGGGCCGTCTCATGATAATTTCAGTTGCAATCTGACTCGCTCATGGCATAAATCTCGTCGTCGGAACTGCTGGTGCCTGAACCGACTGCCACTATTATAGGTAGGACTGTTGCTGGCCGTAGTCCATCTAGTGACCAATAACGTGGCTCTATCTCGTCAACGACTGTGGCCACAAAACGCCTCCATGTTTCTACTGTTACCCGACCAAGGGATTCCGCTACGAGTTGTTTAACGTCTCGTAATTTGAACGTTGTGTTCGATCGTCCAACGTCACCCTTGACATGCCCCATACCAACTCGACTGGATTCAGGTCGCAGTGATAAGGTGGCAGTCGTAAGACAGCGTGACCCTGACCCTTGATGTAACTGTCAATTTATACACAGGGTCAGGAAGGAAAGGTAATGTTCCTCTGTTGCAGCCAAGTAACCATGTCTCCTTTACGGTTATTAGAGGTTGGAGTCTTGCTTTCTGGATCCTGCACACTATGATACGGTGCATTGTCCATGACAATGAGAGACTTGGTAGGCAAAGCAGGGACTAATTTATCTTTCACCCACTCCAGAAATACATTGCCGTTCATTTCTGTGTGGTAGTCCCTGTTGTCTATGAGTCTTTCACCCTTTCCCACTAGTAACTTTCTACCAGACTCCTTACAGTCACCACTGGGTACCCACTGACTGCTGGCTGTGTGTGACGCATTTACCCATGTCTCATCTAAGTAGACGGGCTCATATCCTTCTACACGTTTCTGCTTGATGGTACGAAGGTAATAATTTCGGAGACGAACAATGTCAGACTGTTCACACAACACAGCACTATTTTCTCCAGTTATCTTTTTGTATTTGTAACCAAATGTATGCAACAGCTGCCATAGTTTGTACTTTGTAACACGTAAATCATGGTCAGTTTCAAGGTGTTTCTTCAAAATTCTTAGGGACAGGTACTTATTTTCTGAGTGCAGTTTAACAATTGCACGTCTGACTTGATCCCTCTGAAAACTGTCTAATTTATCAACCTTGCGTGGTTTTGACATGTTCCCTACCTCCTTGGCCTGACTATTTGTATCTCGTCTACTAACAACATTTTTAAGTTTCTGAGGGGACATACCAAGAGCTTTTGAAGCTCGTTTCAAGAATTTATTAATTGCATAAAAAGGCTTTGCTCTTTCTGCTTCACTTCTAAAGAAATCATACACATTCAACATCAACTGTTTAACATCTGCTGAGTAGCGCATCTTGTCATTGAATGAACACTGTCATTGTGTAGCACGTGCAGACCGTGCTTGCGCTGTTCCTTCCACGGTTTGTTCCCCCTACGTGTCATGTACACATTTCGATACAAAATTACATGATAGTTTCTTAAAGAACTTCATCCGTCATGGGTCTTAAAATTAACAAAATTCAGATTTTGTTGGGTACAGGGTATTCATGGTCAAGTACCGTATTGATGTTGCATACACTTTTCTGGATTTCGAGTTATTTTGCAATTCATCGTTCTCATTTGGAGTCAAACGGACTGTAGAAGGAAATGGACGGAGGATAGGCCAAACATTTGTGCTGGAGATTTTGTTCTTCTGAGTGAAAAGAACATTGCCAGGAATGAGTGTCCTGTAGGACTGGTAGAACGATGTATTCCAAGCCTTGACAACAAAGTAAGAAAAGCTATTGTGCGTGTGGTGCGACAAGGCAAAGTGTCAACTTACACTCGTCCTATATCTGGGATGGTGGTCTTGTTGCCCTCTGATGATAGGATCAAGTGACAAGTGATATGTGACGTTAACTGTTGCTTAGTGGACTTGGTGCTAGTTATCACAATGATATTATCATTGACAACCTCGGGAACATTTGTTAACATTTTGTATAAGAATCATTTTAGTTAAGTGTTTGGTATTTCTGTCGACTTTTCACAATGTCAGTAGTAGTGATATCTAAGTTTAGATATCAGACAGGGAGTGTTCCATTACTCCGTAACAAGTTATTTTTAGTGGTATTCACTCACTCATTTTTAGCGGTATGCATGGGCACTCTTCTGCGTGGAGTTATCTTTACTGGTGTTCACGTGCAAAATGGTCTCCGAGCAGGCCATGTGTTTGGGTTCTCACCCGGTTTCGTTAGGCGATCATAGTCCATTTATCCTGCACAAGAGCCGATAACACAACATACAACCAAAGTTAAGCCAGTAACTCGAGTTTATCGTTTCTTGAGGCTCTCGACCCGGGGTTATCTAAACCGCTAGGTCCCCTCCAGGGGTGAGACGGAACAGCGAGCCTGACCAACCGATCCTGTTAGCCGCCTGTTACGGAAAACATGGGTAGCTGAACAACCATTCTACCCCGGATCTTCACGGGCTGGTTCGTTACGGTCACAATAGATAGTGTTATGATACAAACTGGATGTAATGTACCTACGTTTATCTTCCATAGGGCGGTATCCAATAGTTTTCAAGCCGGAAGAATAGCTCCACACTATGCCGTGCTTGTCATTCGAGACGACGTACATGTATGAGCTTACAATTTGTGATTGCGTGACACGGTGTTGGTCGTTCCTACTGCTATCAACCACGACAAAGCACTCGACAAAACCACGACATGCAATCCTTTCCAAGGCTTTGTCGTCTCATAAAGGACGCTATCCGTGCAGATCCGGGGTAGAATAGGTCTTCAGCAACCCATGCTTGCCCAAAAAGGCGACTATGCTTGACGTAAGAGGCGACTAACGGTTATACCAAGGAATTCAGTCCGTCCGTCCTTCCGGGGACATTTTTGTGCGACTTATAGCTTGAAAACTACTACAAAGCTTCTTTTCATCTTTGGTAAACACTCTTAAAACCAAAAGGAGAGGTGCAGTGGGAAGCCAGATTTCAATATAAAAATTTTCAGAAACCATACAGCTATTTTTCATTTTTTTACTTAGAATCTTTTCACTTAAACATTCGTACGACCAAAACAGGATTATAAGAAACGTCACCTGAATATTTTTTCAATATATTTTCAACCAATGTCAAAAAACCTTTTAATGTAGATTAGAGCCGTGAAGATCGGGGGTAGAACAGGTCTTCAGCAACCCATGCTTGCCGTAAAAGACGTGATGCATGTCATCGTATCCTATTCGCGTTGGTCTATCCCTGGAATGTCTGGTTTCAGACTCGATTAATTACAGACAGCTGTCATATAGCTGGATTGCTGCTGAATGTGGCGTTAAGCAACAAACAAACCAATCTCATGGGTCGATGCTCATGACGTCTGTCACTGGATTGTCTGGTCCTAACTCGATTATTTATAGACCACCGTCATATAGATGGAATGTAATCATGTTTGTTTTTTTTGTTTGTTGTTTAACGCCGCACTCAGCAATATTCCAGCTATATGACGGCGGTCTGTAAAATAATCGAGTCTGGACCAGACAATCCAGTGATTGACATCATGATCATCGATCCACGCAATTGGGATCGATGACATGTATCAACCAAGTGAGCGAGCCTGACCTCCCGATCCCGTTAGTCGCCTTTAACGACAAGCATAGTCGCCTTTTACGGCATGTACGGGTTGCTGAAGACCTATTCTACCCCGGAATCTTCACGGGTCGAATATAATCATGAGTATAACGAGATTGACCAGTACGACATCGTCTTTATATGACCTCTTCAAATCTGGACTGACAACCCAAGTGTGTGTAACCGATATTTGGTTTTATTCCATATAATTTATTCATACACTCTTGGGAGTCCCACTTCTTCTGCATGAGATCTCTGATATAACATCTAATTACAGGTTTATAGTCACTGTAGCGTATGAGAAGTGGTGTCACAGATTCGTTGAGTGCTGCCTTAGCAGCAGCAGCAGCCTTTGTGTTACCAACGGCTGGGTAACCAACAAAAAGCGATGTCGTATTGGCCAGTAGCCAGATTATTGTGTAATTAAATTATGTCACGTTTAACTGGAGACGACAGCGAGTCTGCAAAAATAATAAATTCCTGATATTTAGACTGTTAATTTATATATTCTAGAGCAGTTAAAATGGCCT